TTCTTGAGGCCGCAAAACAAAGGCAGTTCAGCTCCCGCAGGGCTTTGATGGCTGAAATGTAGAGGGTGATGATGTCCAAGTGTCCGAGATGGAGCAGCCGTTGTTCCAAGGCACTTTTCAGGAAGGTCAGAAGCTGCTGCCCCTAATTGGTCCTTTCCAGGCAATGTTTCAGGTCTTCCACTGCAGGCTTTGACTCCCGGAAATCATGGATGATGCTGTAGAGCTCCTCGATGCGCAAGCTGGCATATAGGCGGTAGCAGAACCTCTGGACGTGGAACTGCCAGAGCTTCAGGGGGCTGCTGGGCAGGGACTCCCCAGCACTCTCTTGCAGGAAGACCCTGCTGAGCCAGCCGATGACCTTCTCGATCCACTCTTGGAACTCGGCGGGGAAGGAGCGCTCGCACTCGCCCCGGCAGCGCCATTCCACACGCTCCTCAATCATCTCGATCCAGCAGCACGTGGGTCACGGCGTCGGCGCTCACCCGCTCCAGAAGGTTCACCTCATAAAGGATGGCGTTGAGCTGCTCGAACTGCACCACCACTCCCCCCCCCCCGCGCAGAAGGCAGGATGGCGCTGAAACGCATCAACAAGTGAGTCTTCATTAGGAAGGCAGCAGTGGCGGTGGGGGGCAGCCGAGGACGAGAGGCCCGAGGCGGTGGGTGAGCAGCAGAGATGGCGGCTGCAGGAGGCACTGAACCATCTTGCGGGCCCTGCGGAGTCCCCCAGCTGCCCAGCCAGAGACCCCTCTGGGAGAAGCGGCCCTGGGGGCTCCCGGGGGCAGAAGAGCAGGGGGACTGCACTACATGTGCTACGGCCTCGGGAGCTTCTGCTCATGCGGGAAGGCGCGACTGCAGCTGGCCTTCCTCCTCCTGCTGCTGGAGGAGCTGAAGATTGCCCCAGGGAGCTGCTTCGTCTTCGACCCCGTCTTTTCCATGCTGGAAACTGAATTGCTGGGCGGCCTCAGCCTCACCATGCTGCAGTGGAACGAGGTGAAGTGAGGGGGGTTGGGGGTGGGGAAGCCAACACGCCTGGCCCCACAGTTGGGGTCTCTTTGCCGAGGTCAACCCTGCAGTCCTTGGCAAGCTCTTTGTTGCCCAGGAGGCGAAACGGAGCATCGAGGGCCCCACCCTCTTCTACATGATCCACTGTGGGAAGGCGCTGTACAACAACCTGCTGTGGAGCAACTGGTCTGCGGAGGCCCTGTCCCAGATGGTGGTCATGGGGAACAGCTTCCGGGCTTTGAAGAGAGGCTGCTGGTCAAAGTCTTCTGGGAGAATTATAGCTACGTTGCCAAGGTGTTGGAGGCAACCCAGGAGGAAGCCCTTCCGCCCCGATGTCTTCAACGGCACGTCTGTCCACTGTTTTCCTCTGCAGAAACTGAGGGGCCTCCCCCAGGACTGCTGGGACTGCTGGATGGAGCCCCGTTACTCAGAAGACGCTCAGCTGGAGATCATCAGAAACAAACCCCAACACCTGCACAAATTTTTCTTTTTTTTTTAAACATATTTTTTATTTCCATTTTCATAACATACAATCACATGTATACTATACATAGCCAGTATCATATAGTAATAAATAATGATTACNGTTGTGGGGGCTCCATTACTGGAGGTTTTTAGGATGAGATTGGACAACTATATGTCTGAAATGGTAGATGGTTTCCTGCCTGAGCAGGAGGTTGGACTAGAAGACCTCCAAGGTCCCTTCCAACTCTGTTATCCTGTTCTTTGGTGTCCCTTCATTTGTGTCAGAAGAAACCAAGTGCAGTTAATGGGATTGGGGAAGGCAGGGTACCAGCTAGGAGAAACTGAGCGGAGCTAATGGGGGGGGGGAGACATAGAAGCAGGGGTGGGATTCAGCTGGTTCAGATCAGTTTGGGGGAACCTGATGTTAATTTTAATTTGCTTTACGAAACCAATAGTTGGAAGACTGGCTGACCCCTCCCACCCCTCCCCTCCCAGGAGTCTCAATGAGGCCTGATTTGGATGCGAGGTAAGTGCAGGGCACGCATGGAGGCTCTGGGAGGGTGAAAAGTGGGTCTTCCGGAAGTCCAGAAACATGCCTCCGAAGGGCCTCTGGTGCCTGAGAAAGACCCTTTTCACCCTCCTGGAGGCTTAAGGAAAGCCTCCAGAGACTGGAGAGGATGAAAACAACCCCCCTGGCCATGGTGCAGGAGGCTGAGTAGACCACACCTCCATGGCCACGCCCACCCAGCATCCAGGCAGGGAACTGGATGCTGAATTTTTTCAATCCCAGCCCTGCATACAAGCTAATGGGGCAATGAAGGGAAGGAACCAGTCAGAGAAACCGAGTGGAGCTAATGTGGGTCGGGGAAGAGAATTGTTGGCCAAATCTGGGTCTCGGCTCATGCCCCGGCGCGCACGATTAAGCAATCTGGGAAAAGCAGATCATTTCATGAGTATTTACTGGCAACGTTCCGGTTCAAAAGGATTCTGTCCTACAAAGAGGAAATCTGAAAATCAAAAGTTACAATATGTTGTAGTTTAATTCATCAAACGTAAGTACAAAGGAAAGTTTGCCTGGATAGGGCAGAACTTCCTGCCCCCTTTATACAGAAAGTCAGTTATATAAGCTAAACAGAATAACTGAATAGCAGCAGGAGGAGCCAACGTCATGACGATACGGACATGCGGTCTCGATGCTCCGAGACCGCAGCCGATACTTTTGCCGCTGGGTAGTCCAATCGGACATAAACCGTCCCACAGAGACAGTGAACAGGAAGCATACATTTTGCTGATCTCAGGGACATCGCAAAGTCCCTGATCGATGCAAGAGAAGTTCTTCAAGATGGCAACAAAAAAAATCCAGCCAAGGCTGACGAAGTCAGGGCGGCTACAAAACAGAAGGATACGGAAATAGAAAGTGTTTCCATCTGGTGAGGAACTTTTACCTTTTTAAAAGAGACTGCCTATAAAAAACTTAAAATTAANCCGGCTCAAGGTTGACTCAGCCTTCCATCCTTCCGAGGTGGGTGAAATGAGGACCCAGACTGTGGGGGCGATATGCTGACTCTGTAAACCGCTTAAAGAGGGCTGAAAGCCCTATGAAGCGGTATATAAGTCTAACTGCTATTCAGCCGAGAGTTGTACATGAAAGCAAATTTGTTTATTATTGTAAAAATAAACATGGTTTTTTTTTCCTCCTCGCAACACATATCATTGGTTGTTATTTTTTTGTTCTGTTTTACAAAGGAAGAGATTTGCATTTCTTTAAAAATGAAAACCCCCCACCCCCTCCCCCTTCACAATGTTTATAGCAAAAATGTTCATTGAAAGCCAAGGTTGGTTATTCTTAAAAAAAACAACAACTCCAGAACAACAATTGGCATCGTTCACAAAATGCCATTAAATCATGCTGTTGGTTTTTTTTTATACATGTTCCCAAGGATGATGATTCTTCTCTCTCTCTCTCTCTTTTTTTACACATCCTGCTTTTTAACACGAGGAAACATAATCATGGCATTATTTTTTTTTGTTATTATTATTATTATTATTATTTTAAAAAAAATGGCCCCTTCTCTGGAGGTTCGTTAAAGTGCTTATGAAAGAGAAAGGTTCTACTCATTCCAAATTATAGCGCTTCCAAGGTGATCCTGTATAAAACGTAGGCAGTTATTCACGCGCACACGCACACACACGCTCACGCACGCAGGCACGCACACACACAGCTTTAACTAAAGCTAAATACAAAAAAAAATACATTTTTCTTTGATTTTTGTTCAAAGAAAACCCCGTCCTGCTGTCTCGGAGCTGTCCACGGCTCATGGTGCTGAAATGCATTTAAAAGCTGTAACAGTTGAAGAAAACGGGCCCATACGTCACTAACGGAGGCCCACCATAGATGAACACAGATTGAGTTTGAACTGTAGCTGGATCCCAACAAGTCCTTTTCTGCCCCTTCCCTTCCCTTCTCTTTCTTCCTTCCTTCCCTCCTTCCATTCATTTTCTCCTCTGCTTCCCTTTTGCCAGTCAACCAGCTGAATGGGCTACCCCATTGAACCCATCAATGCTCATTTCCTTTCCCATGTTCCCCGTCGCGGACAGGTGGCTCCTTCTCCCCTGAGCATCCCTGCAAAGTGCTTCAAAGAATTGTCACTCCCACCCACCCACCAAAAACAGCGGCGTGTCCCCCCCTCCCCATCCCCGGGGGAGGGGCCCAGGGGGCCGTGCCATTTAGAGCGTCCCGAACGAAAGCCCCATGGTGTAAAACCCAAGTCCTTTGAGTTTCTCCTCGGCCCGCGCCTTCTGTTTCTGGTGGACTTTGCTGTGCCTTTTCTTCTCGTCGCTCCGGGCGAAGCGCCGTCCGCAGTCATCGCAGGAGAAGGGCTTCTCCCCCGTGTGGGTCCGGATGTGGGTCGTCAGGTGGTCGCTGCGGCTAAAGTTCCTCAGGCAGATGCGACACTGGAAGGGCTTGTGGCCCGTGTGGATCCGCAGGTGTCGGTTGAGTTCGTCGGAACGGGCAAAGCTCCGGACGCAGTTCTCCATCGGGCAAGCAAAGGCCTTCTCGTGAGGTTTGGGACAAAAGCATTTAGAAGAGCATTTCCCACGCCGTGTCTTCTTCTTGGGCCCCGCCAAGCCGCCGGAGGTCCGGTTAAGCCCCAAACTGTTGGCCGAAGAACTTGGGAGGTGAGCTAAAAAGTCCGTCATGGGGACCGATGATGAGGACGGTTGGCCAGGCATCTTGAGACCGTTGGGGTTCATCAGGGTGGTGAGGACATCCGGGTGAGGGACAGGAGCTTCAAACTCTTGGCTGAAGGGCGGGGAAAGTTTAGGGGCCTTGGTGTCTACAAAGTCGGTGGGGAGTGGGCCGTGACTCAAGAACGCCTCAGCGTTGCAACCAAAATCCAAGGGAGGTCCGTAAGAGCCGGAATGTTCCGAGAGAGAGTTGAGTTCTGACTGGCAGCTGACTGTCAAGGCGTTCTCCGTCTTGGAGACCATGTGTGGAAACAAGGTTGGACTCGCCTCCACGTTGGGGTGGAAGGTCTCCGAAGGGGGGACCTCGGCCGGCAGGTAATGATGAGGCTGGTTGAGGGGCTCCCAATGGGAGCAGGATGATTTGAACTTCTCGGCGGTGGGGGAGACGGAGGACAACTTCAGCTCCTGCTTCGAATCCAGCAGCTTCTCGTGAAAGAGACAATGGGAGGAAGCGGTCCGAACTTCCGGAGAGGCTCGGAACTGCGGGAGGCTCTCCGGACTCGGGAAGGACGAATAGGCTTGTTCGGGCAATGACGGCTGCACGGAGATGTTGAGTTCCGGTTGGCAGGTGGAGTAGAGGTCCAGATGGTTTTGCAGGGCTTCCGGGATGGAGTAGCTGGCCTCGGGAGGCCGCGGTTGAACTTCCGGAGCGGAGAAGGGAGAAAGGCCTAGGATCCCCGACATCAGGTTGAAGAGGGATTCCTGATCCTGGCATTGTTCTGTCTTGATGAACAGGCTGCCGGAGTAGCTGACCGGTGGAGACGCCTCTCCCGAAAGGAAGAAGTAATCCACTGGTTCGGAGTTCATCGTTGCTCCCATCAAGTCTCCTGGGGGAAAAAAAAACCAGTTTGAGTGTCAAGTAAAACTACACCAGTTTCTAGACGTAGGTAGCATGATTTTTTCCCCCCTGCACCTGTCAAGGGAATCACTGGGGTTATTAAGTGAATGCCACGGTCGTTAAATGAATCCGGTGTCCCTAATGATGAGCCAGTTTCATCTAGTGGTTAAGGAAGCTTAGAAACTGGGGAACCGGGAGTTCTAGTCCCGCCTTAGGCATGAAAGCCAGCTGGGTGACTTTGGGCCAATCACCAGGAGACGGTGAGTTCTAGTCCCGCCTTAGGCATGAAAGCCAGCTGGGTGACTTTGGGCCAATCACCAGGAGACGGTGAGTTCTAGTCCCGCCTTAGGCATGAAAGCCAGCTGGGTGACTTTGGGCCAATCACCAGGAGACGGTGAGTTCTAGTCCCGCCTTAGGCATGAAAGCCAGCTGGGTGACTTTGGGCCAATCACCAGGAGACGGTGAGTTCTAGTCCCGCCTTAGGCATGAAAGCCAGCTGGGTGACTTTGGGCCAATCACCAGGAGACGGTGAGTTCTAGTCCCGCCTTAGGCATGAAAGCCAGCTGGGTGACTTTGGGCCAATCACCAGGAGACGGTGAGTTCTAGTCCCGCCTTAGGCATGAAAGCCAGCTGGGTGACTTTGGGCCAATCAACCAGGAGACGGTGAGTTCTAGTCCCTCCTTAGGCATGAAAGCCAGCCGGGTGACTTTGATCCAATCACCAGGAGATGGGGAGTTCTAGTCCTGCCTTAAAAGCTACCCCATTTAGTGACCTTCTCACCAACAAAGGGGGAAACCAGATTCGCTTAGCGATGATGTTACGAGTGTAACAACTCCAGGGATTCGCTTAACACATGTGGCAAGAAAAGTCGTAAAATAGGGGACTCGCTTAACAAATTTCCCCACTTACAAACATAAATGCTAGGCTCAATTATGGTCGTAAATTGAGGACTACCTATATAAAATGAACTTCCGTGCCTTGGACCATAAATAAGAGAGATAATATTGTTAATGTCAACCCAGGTTTCTCTAGAATAGAGCACCATTGTCCATGCTTAGGGACCTTAATATGTGTGGACTACGACTCCCAGAATCCCCCAGGCTAGAAAGTGGGAGGCCACAAGTTCTAGTCCCGCCTTTGGCATGAAAGCCAGTGGAGTAACTTGGGAAAGCTGGCTGCCCTGGCTTTGAGATGATCACCAGGGGACAGAGAGTTCTAGTCCCGTCTTAGGCAGGAGAGCCAGCTGGGTTGAGCTAGATGACATCATGGGAGCCCTTCCTGATTTGACTGGAAGGGCCTTTGTTGATGCAAACATCCAGCTCCAAGCCCCCCCTTCCCCTTCCAGGTGATCTCAGCAGTAGGGGGGCCGCTTAATGACCTCTTAGCTACCCCTTTAAAAACCATTCAGGGAGGATGGGAAAAACCTAGCATGAATATTGTCAGGTGGGGGGAAAAAATGTGAACTGTTTAGCTTTAGGGGATTCCCAGCGCCGAATCCTTCTCCCTGCACCTTCCAAAGGTGGTCATCCCAAAATATAGGGGATCAAGATAAGCCCCAGTACTACCCAGCTGGGTCTGGGCAAGCTTCCCCAGTCAGCATGGCTGCTGAAAACAGGTGGCAGGAATCCCTGCCATTTTGAGATGGGCATCACCCAACTGCATTCCTCCGCTTAGGAAGAAAAACAAGGGTTTTTTTCTTCCTCCCCCCCCCGCCCCGCAGAGTCCCCCAATTTCTACCATTGCATCACACACACAACCAGCTTCCTGCCCTCCAGCCCCCTCCTCCAAATGCTGAAGGGTACCTCCTGGCTGCCCACTGCTGGCCTAGAGAGAGAGAGAGGGAGAGAGGGAGAGAGAGAGAGANCTCTTCCCTGCAGGGGTTCCCCCACCCCCTCACCATTCAGGAGGGAGCGGGTCACCCTGAACAGGGCAGCTGGGCGGGATTCCACAGATGCAATAAGAGCAGAAAAAAGTGTGCATTTTGCTGCCCGTATCGCCACTAGGTAAGTCCTAATAAAAGCTCTTAGTAGTGTTCAATCAGATTCAGAGTTACTAGTCCTCCAACCTCGCTCTAGGCGTCTCTTTTGGCGCTTCATCTCCCGGAGTTCCTCAGTAAACCAAGGTGCCCTCCTGGATCCACTGCCTCTCCCGGTCATAACTGAAATGCTCCGACCCTCTCCCCTATCCGTAGACCCTCCCCCCTCTCCCATGGCCCCCCATTCTTCCTGGAAGGCCACACATCCCATTCACTCTAGGGTGAGGGGCGTATCCGGGCCCCCATCCACTTCTGCTTCTGCACTCAGTGGAGGGGGCTCCAGGTCGCACCCCCAGTCCTATCATGTTCACCCAACAAACTTTCTGCTCAGACTCACCCCACAGTAATCATTAAAAATACAATACAGTGATAAAAATAATTAAATTAATTAAATTAAAAGTGGGCACATTCACTCTCATAGTCGTACATTCATACACTCAGCAAACTAGTTAAAACACTGTTCTTGAGGCCGCAAAACAAAGACGGTCCAGCTCCCGCAGCGCTTTGATGGCTGAAATGTAGAGGGTGATGATGTCCAAAGTGTTCACCCCAGGATGGAGCAGCCATAGTTCCAAGGTGCTTTTCAGGGAGGACAGGAGCTGCTGCCGCTGATTGGTCCTTTCCAGGCAATACTTCAGGTCTTCCACTGCAGGCTTCGACTCTGGGAAATTGCGGATGATGCTGTATAGCTCCTCGATGCGCAAGCTGGCATACAGGCAGTAGAAGAACCTCTGGACGTGGCACCTCCAGCGCTTCAGGGGGCTGCTGGGCAGGGACGCTAACTAAATATTACTAACTAAATATTCTTGAGACATTAAAATCAGAAATGAATACCGTGTGACATCGCATCTTAGAAGACATAAGTAAGTCATTTTAGTCAGATTAAATGTTTGATTGTTTAGTTATTTATTTATTTTATTAATAAAATTTACATGCCGCCCAATCCCGAAGGACTCCGGGCGGCTTACAAAAAGAAGAGGAAGAAAGAAATAATAAAAAAGACAGATTTAAAATCACAACACATGCANCCTAGTGGAGATCCAGCTTCATGTCCTTCACTAGTTAGTGATGGCCCAAAGTTCATCAAAAGAAGATTACTGGACCTGCCAAAGACAGCTTTAAGTTGTCTTATCTATATGCTAGGGAAAAGACAAGAGCACCATTGTGAGGACATGGCACGAACATGTTTGTACAACAGTTGTGCGGATATGAAAATGAGCCTCAAACAGCATATGTGATATGCATGAAATACAAGAAATCTCTTTGTCCTAATAATTTTTCTAAATATGACCCCTCCATACCTATTTTTTGCAGTCTGCTGTATTGTGAAGCACTATTTGCAGCACATTAGGATTGTGGTGTAAGCCTTAAACATTAAGGGAATTAAAAACCCTCTCCAAAATCTAGTAGGAAAACATCTTAGCGCCCATTGTTGCTCCTTTTCATCGCCTCCCCTTGCATGTGGCCTCCTTCCAAATGCTAACTGTGGTCCTCAGACATGAAAGGTTGCCTGCTTTGTGTTAAGGATAAGCGCTTGCTTCCTTAAAAGAGTTTATATTTGCTTTCCAAAAGACACCAACTCACTAATACCCACTGAGACTGTAAGATGGAGAACACTGCAAAAGGAAAACGCAAAATGCTTGTTACATGCGTATTTTCTCAAGAGAGCTGAAGAAAGATTTATTATTTCAAGGCTGGCAGTTTAATTGCTGAGCACCAACCTGCAAGCAGTTTGGCTGGCAGAGACAATTAAGCCTACTGCTAAAGGACCTTTGTGCCTTTAGACTTCAGCTGTAAAGTCTGGCTGAGATTTTGTACAGCCTTTGCATTCTGTTAAACCAACCCAGTTGTTTGTTTGTTTCTGTTTTTCCCATATACATTTGATTTCATTCTTGTTATCCTTTTTATATGAATCTTTGATCAATTGCTTGTTGTTCCTTAAACAAACCAGATCTTGGTTGCTATTCTGACTTGCCGTTGATCGTTTGATGTGCTCAGACTACAATTTATTATTGAACAGAACAAAAATGCTTTTTTTAATTATTGTTTATTTTAAGCACAGTTCTTTATCCTGAAGGAGCCTAAGGTGGTATACAAAGAACAAAGCAGTCTTCAATAAAAAACAAATACAATGATCAACAATAAAACCCTACTCTAGAGCAAGACAATAAAAATAATGCCAGAATTAAAATTGAGCTTATTTAAAGGGGCACATTTTACTTTGCAAATCACTACGTGAACAAACCTTCAGTTTTATACAAAACAAATATTATTAAGCAACTAAATTAATTTAAATTCAAGATTCATCAAGGGAAAAAGATATAGAATATACTAAAATTAAGAGACAGGTACTGTACTGTAAATGTGTCATATTATATGTATAAAGTATTATGATAGTGTGGCTTATTACTATTGAGGTAAGCCATAAAATCCATTCAAATATGATAGAATTGTGATTCCTGCCTCTGATGTCTCATTATTTTAACTCTGTTTTTTGTCTAATATGGCAATTGAAGAGGACCTGTTAGTCCACATCTTAGTTGTTATGTCATTTACAATTTTTCAATGTTGGGCAATTATTATTTTAGCTACTAAAATTAATAATAATAATTTCCTTATTTTTTAAGCTTGAGGTTTGGCCCTGTATATAAATGCAGTAAGCATAACTCTGGGGCACATCCAATTCTTTTTTTTTAGTAATGGTACTGATCTCCTTACCAAAATTGTATAGCTTTATCACACAATTATAATAAATGACAGAATGATCCTTTTTTAAAAAATAACCTCTCTAACATTTGGAAGAATAAGTTTGATAATAAGTTTGACTTCAAACAAGTTAATCTGGGAGGCAAATAATCATAAAACAATTAAAAACCCAGTATAGTACAAAATTAAATTTCTATGAGGTCAAGTGCCGGTGATATATAATCTTCCATT